AAATATAAGTTATAAGTGTATACTTTTTCATCTTACAAAATTTGTATAAAATCAATTGAAAATATAACATATAATTTATGAGTTTTTAAGCTTAAATTATGATGATAATAATAATAATAATAATGTTGTTTGATTTTCTTAGAATCTATATTAAATAGAATTTTAAGCAATCATCTATGGACTTCATACACTATTTGTACTATAAATATATCTCAAGACTATATTTAGCATTTCTACAACTCTTACATAGTGTATAGTATATTTTTAAAGACCACTCTCATAAAATATAAACCTATTAATATGTAAAATGATTAAAATTCAATTAAATATTATATTAATTTCAACACATTTTTTGATTTAATGTGCAATTCTAAGAAGTTTTTTTTTTTTTACACTTTTGGCTATTATATTACATTATTAAATCTCACTACAATAAAAAATAAAACACTCTCTTAACTCTACAATTGGATATTTTTAAGGATTTATCCAATTTTCTAGAGTACCAGCTCCTCTCTAGGAGAGCCAAAATGGCTCTACTAGTCTCTCCTGGAGACTATTAAGGCCAGTTTGGTTGTATGGTAGGCCCTCTACACAGGGGAGTAGATAGACCATTTTGGCAATAGGAGGACCTTCATGTAATAGGGTTGTTTACGCTGAAGTTCCTCTCACAGGAAGACCAGTAAGACCACTTCACATTTATGGGGCCTCAAAAACATTTCTTATAAATGATTCATTCTGTTTTCTTGTCTATTAAGGGTAAAAAATCTTTATTTTTTTTTTGCCAGATTTTTATTATTTTTAATGCTCTTTTATTGTTTGAATATATAGAATGCTTCATAAAAGATGTGTCCCAGCACTTAAAATATTACATGATTTATTATTATTCTTTTCATTGAAAAAAAATCTACATTTAGATTTATCGAATGAGATATTTTAAGCATAATAAAATAAAACGTGTATGCTTTTTTTTTTCTTTCCTCGTATACTTTAAATATCAATCAATTTTTCGTGATAGAAAGTGTAAGTTTTATATTATGATCAATATAGAGGTCATTCAGACAATCAACCATTGATGATACATAGAGAATAAAAGAGAATTTATTAATGTCCAAGGAAAAGTAAACAATACGTTATTAAAAACGGGTCATTGTTCTAAAGTGTGCGTTGTCGTCATTGAAAGGAACTTTTAAAAAGATTGTGCGCTTCTGGATAGAACTTGACACACGACCTGCAGTTGTATTATTCCGTGACGTGTTTACGGGTTATGTGTTTGACCTCTTACGGATTATGACTTTGACCTATGATCAGTCTAAACAATATGCACAAAGCTTGTTTTTCAAAATTATCATACCTCCTTTCAATATTTAAAATTTATAAAATTAATGATTGAAGAAACAAAATTTAATTTATGGCTTATAAACACATAAACAGTAGACTCTTTATATACTGAACGATTTTGTTGGTCTTTCCTATTAATTACGCGTATAATCAACTCTCGATATAGTGATTTGGTTCAGTCCTTCGATTGCTCAAAAGTCAGTTAACGATTTTTTTTAGTGTATTCTAAATACAACTGTAAATATAAATCGTAAAATAAGTTTAGAACACGTTTTTTTTTTTTTTCTATACAAAATTGTTAGAGTTTGTACGTAATAAAGTATTCGAATAAGGCAACAATTTACTCCTTAAAAGGTTAACTAACTTTTGGACCACCCCGTATAAAGTTTTTAAACCATAATATGAAGACGTTAAAGCTTAATTTATTCTCTTCCTATAATATAGAATATAATTAATTCTGATAAGCATGCCATAAATTAATTAATTTTTTTAATGATAGATAATGATTGTTAATTGAATTCGAATTTTATTATTAATCAGACGAGTAATCAAATCATACGAAGTTCCATCTTGAAGAATAGAAGAGGAATTTGATCCCTTCAGATGATTTTACTGGGTGTTTAGTAGAAACCTTCACAAATTGATGCAATTACGATAGATTTATTCGAATTTTTATAATAATTATGATATTATTCGCATAAAAATTATAGAAATTTAAGAATTTTACGACGAGTATAGTAAAATAATGTCATTATTACACCGAATTTACATAGAAACAAGGAAACATTTACTAATAATAATAATGCTTTACTGAAGGAACGTACAATACTGTGTTATTAATTATGAGATTTTCAAATAAAATTGGCATGTCTAGAAGAAGAAAAAAATAAAAATATGCAGTAGAATAAATTATCTTTATAAATTTCATTCATTCTGTTCCTTCTCATTTATCAAAGTAGAAATCATTCAAGCATATTCTATGGAGAAATAAAAATTTTCTCAATAGTCTATATCACTGAATATATAAGTTTTTATTATTTATGGTAATTGTTTTTTTTTAATTTTTATTTTATATAGCCTATATTTTATTATATGTACGTATGGTAGTGTGTGTGAGGGGTACGATTTTGTTTACCCAACTTCGAAGCTTAATAACTTCCGTGTCTCTTGTCGAAAATGTCTGAAATTTTGCAGGAAATTTTGCATAATAGTGGCATTGATTCTATTAAATTTTGGTGGTTAAAGATCGAGGGGATGTGGAGATAGAAGTGATCGTGTGTAGGGATTTAACGAGGATTTTACACGTTATTGGTGTTTACAAATTTTTTTAATAAATAAATAAATAAATAATACAAGAAAATATATTATTTTCTATTTTAAAAAAAAACACTTTAAAATAAGAAAATATTTATTACAATTTTTGAAATTTGAATCACAATAAAAAGTTACGTATTCATAGAATAAATGTCAGGAAGAAATAGACTGTGTAGTTCATGTACTGTATATTGTTTTATATTGAGTTTATAACTTTATTTTTTAATTTTATAATTATCTGATAAATTTTAAAAGATTTATTCATTATTTATTTCCTTCTTCTTCTTCTTCAATAGTTCTTCACAAGTTTAGATAAAAATCTCAATAAAAAAAAAAAGTTTAGGTAAAAACTTGATAAATACTTTTTCATTTTTTATTTAAAATATAAAAGAATTACAATTTGAAACATATACATAGGGTGGTTCAAAAGTTAGTTAACCACTGTAAAGCCTCCAATTCTTAAAATAAGTATTTAATTAATACGCTTTCCCAAACTCATTGTAGTTAACCGACTTTTGGGCCAGCCTATTTGTCTTGATAGGAATTTTGTAATTTTTCGAGAAATTTACAGTATATAATAAAACTTATCCCTCGATAAAGTGAACATTTTTTTTTTTTTTTTTTAAGTTGGCTATCGATAATTTTTCCAAAAGGATAAAGGTCAAAATGGCTACAGTATGTTTTACTTTTAGAAGTAAAGTAAACAAGACGTGAAGAAGCAGGAATTTTTAATACTGATAATTTATTATTTTTTTTAGCTAATTAATAAGAGTGATTGATCATAAATTATATTCCGATTTATCTGTTCGATCATAAACTTGACTTGATCTCAATTTAAGACGAAAAGAATATAACTCTTTTATTGTCTCTGGAATTAATTTTAAGGAGGTTATATTCATTTTTTAAAAAAAATAATATTTATAATATATTTTTTAATGTATATTATGTAATTTCACACGTTGCATTGGATAAAGAATCGTAATTACTTATACGAGATACAGTTTAGGGCCTGGGTTTTTTTTTTAAATTTATTATTTTCTGGAGGAAAGGCCTCTTACACGTTACGTTTTTAAGGCCGCGACAAGTCTAAATTCCTGTTTACAATGAGTCTTATCTGATGCGATGTTATCTTTAGGGCCTCGTACGAATAATAAGAGATAAGAATCCAGATCAAATTTTTTCAGTTCTGTTTGTGAATACAAAAAAAAAAAGGAAAAGAAGAAGGAAAAAAAAACTGAAAGGAGAATAAAATAAACTTAGCAGGAGGCCTTTTCGTTTATTCTTTGTAGGAGGCCTCAGGATATTTCGCTCCGGTTCTGGTCCAAAGAACATTCTATACAAACATTGACAGCCGTAGGTATTATAAATTTAGTA